ACTTTTTTTCCCCCAAGTACAGATGCAAGGTGTGTTTGTGGTAATCTCTGTCTCAGTGTCTTGCTTTTTGTATTTTGAGATAATATTTTTAAAGTACATTTCTGCCATGTTGCAGTGTCCTAAAGGGTCCATTTGTTGCTGTATCTGAAGACCACCTCTATGTTGCTCTGCTCATCCTGGCAAAACCCAAAACCTCTTTATAGCTACACTGAAATAAGTGTGCGTGACAACCTCCCTGTGAGGATGTGATAGCAAGACTGAGGCCTGAGACCTTTTTCTCAAATAGAGAAATCCATGTTCAAAAGACTTTAAAGAACCATAGGTCAGGAATAGCCATGTTTAGAAAATTACTTTTTTTGAAATCTATAAGAATATACCCTTGGCAATATTTACAAATTTTCCTACGTAGGTTCTTTTTTTCTTTAGAAATCCTCTGAAGTTTCTAAAATTCATAGAGTCTTAAATGTTTGCTGTTTTTTAGGGTTTCGGCTATCTTTGTCAGGTTTTCTCTAAAGTACTATGAAGTACAGATCAGTGAATTAGCTGAAATGAGAATTCCGGCTTGAGTTCATTTGGTGTAGGAAAACAAAAAGAAACTGTTCAGTTTGTGAGCAAAGACATCTATTTTTCCTCCTCATAGTTGTTGCTATTATTAGGAATGCTTAAGTTTAATTCTGTATTTATTGTGTTATATTCTGAAACGTAATCTGTTTTACCGGTGTTGCCTAAAACATTCTGCTGCTTTTCTGTTAATATATTGGACGTCCTTATGCAATGTAAACTGCATTTTTCCAGAGCTGAAGTAATAAGCTTTCTAAAAAGGCAGAATGAGGGCAATATTGCTTCTTTCTTCCTAGGTAGATCTTAACATATGAAAAAAAAGTAGTCCAAAATATGATTCCACGAGCTAACTAAAAATACCTTGTAAGATCTTAACATGTTGAATGCCTTGATCTGTCAGGGTACTTGCATGTGTGTTGCAGTACCTGCACTTCAGAGGCCTTGCTGAGTAAGGACTGTACTCTAGTTAATAAAAATGTTCTGTACAGGAACTCTTATAGTTGACTTTGGTTGCTTCTCAGTGTTATCTGTCTCATTTTGAGTGCTTTTACTGACAAAAAGACTCTTGTTTCCACAGTTAGTTTGGTAGCTGAGTATAGTGGAGAATTGAGCTGTTAAAAGTCTAGAACTAAGCCAAACTTATGGTTAGATCACAGCATAGGGACAGAAGTTACAACTTTGTGGTGTTGGTGTTGATCACAATTAGATGTGGTACAGCTTCTCTTGATAGAACAAAACTTTTCAAAGAGAGGTATTAGTTGCTATAAAACAGAAAAAATTGAATGTTTGAGATTCATACTTAGCAGTATACTTTTTACTAATACTGATTGAAAACTTTTGCTATAAAATAGCTTTAAGTGCATGTCATTCCATGTTTCCAAACATCTTGCACTCTGCATATTTGCTCTGTTTCAGGAAATAGGTCTGACAGTGGTAGGTTCTTGTTCTTTCTTGGTCAAGAGGAAATGACAAAACTACTATTTATGTTATTTGTGTTTGTGGAGAAGCTGAGATTCTTGTAGATCCATGTTCTACTTCTGGCTCCAAGCTGATGGTTTTGGGAACACACGGAGATGATTGTACCTTGTCTATGAGATGTCATGAACTCACCAAGTAATTTGACATGAAATTTAGGCTAGTATTAGCAAATGCAAACAACACAGTAAAGACCTCTGCAGTTGTGGATTTTGTTTGGATGCAGTGTGTGAAGCTCTGAGCTCAGTCCTCTTAATTATACATCTTTTAACCACCAGCATATAATTGCCTTGCAATTTGCAATGCATTTGGGGATTCCATTGCCTAAAAGGGTCTTACGTACATTGAATGTCAAGTTCTGAGCATATGTTTAAGAATGTATCAACCCACATGATTTAAAATACTCTAATATTTTCAGCACAGCATTTGTGCAAAATTACCCATCTGAGTTTTGAGGCTCTAGCGCTTTGGGCTTTCTATTAGTGAGTAAGCCATTAACTTCCCTGTAGACTACTCACAATGTCTGGTACCAGATTTCTGTATGACATAATGCTGGTACTTGGATATGGTTATAGTAAAGATCATCCTCCGAAGTTTGCTGCTACACTGTTTTCCAGCCTCTCTGAAGGACTTTTGAACTCTTTTGGAAGAGAGTATGTGGAGTGCAGAGCTACAACTGTGTTGTCTTTGGAGCTGATGTGCACTGCAAGGGAGCTGATTATGCCTGTACTGAAAAGCCAGTACTAAAAGCAGTTGGGAGCTGGTTTCTTCCAGAGGGTGATAATAGGTATTGGCAGTTGGACAGGTGTGTACCTGTGTGTATTGAAATCTTTAATTTCTCTTTTTGCAGTTATTGTGCAAACCACCTTCAATTGTCTTATGGGCTACCAGTGGCTGCACTCGGCAGGACAAATAGCCCTGCTCTTAAGTGCTGATGTCTCAGAGTGTGACTTTGCTCTGTGTCCTGCTTGTCCTTGCTATAAAGCCATGCTGGGCTGCTAAGTTTGTTACTCTTCTTCACATGTCCAGATAGGACTTTAGCCAGAGGGAGAGTTTCTTCCAGTCAGCTGCTCAAGAATAAAAAATGGGACAAGGGGAGAAGTGAATGTGTTATGAAGTTACAAATATTAGTGATAACCTCATAAGAATGTGAAAAACATCCTGCTGGGTCAGATTAGCTTGGGTCCAACTTAATGTTCTGTCTCGGGCAGTAGGAGTAAGTGATGCTGCTTAGGAAAGGCATGAAAGCCTAAACACTTTTGTGTTTTCTTCTCTTACTCCTCCACCATCCATATTTGTTAAATTGGTCATGCTAGTAGGTGCATCACTTATGTCCTCATTGTCTGTGAACTTTTCTATTGCCTTTTTGAACCTGATGGTACTGTCTGCTTCCATAGTCTCATGTGACAGCAAGCTACAGCAGTTCACTACCTGTGAGTAGTGAAAAGGAAGAAATACTTCTTTGATATGTTTTGAGGCAATCTCTTACTAACTTCATCAGGTATCCCTAGCTGCAATATTGTGTGATCTGGTATGACTGCTCTGTATTTACCTTATTCCCTACCATGATTTTTTAAACCTCATTCATGTATTACATCATTTGGCGAGGGCATGCATTTTTGGATTCTCTTCTGTTCTTTGCCCTGTTGTTTCTGACTAGCTCAAAATATTTTTTTTAGAATCACTTGTTTAAGGAAAATCTAGGTTCCTCAAGAAGCAGCTTCTGGTTTCTCATTCACAGGTTGTGGCTAAAGTTAGCTTGAGCACATGTAGGCATAAATTTTTTTCTGTTGAACCTTCCTACATCTTCAATGTAGAGTATAAATGCAAAACCGAAAACAGCTTCCAGAAAGTTTTGTATTCTGATATTTTTATAGTGAAGTACAGCTGCTTAAGCATTTGCTTTTTCCAGGGGAAGTCCATGTTTCCGTCATCTCTTACTGAATCCTGTGGGACAAAAATAATTTGTCCCCCACCCACTATTTAGCTAAGTGTAGTTTCAGTTCTCTTCAGTTAAGTGACATGTGCCTATTCCATGCTTGTGCTACTTTTTACGTAGCAGCAAAAAGCTCTGTTAAGAACTCCTGTAAATTGTTAAAAATAAAACACTGCATCAGATGAAATCAGAATGAAGAGATTTAAGTGTCTTTGTTATTTTTATATATATATTTATACACACACACACTCTCATATGATATGCCATGGAAGTAAAAAAAAGAAGCTCTTTTTAGATGAAGCCCAACTTCAGTCTCTGATCCTGGCAGTGTACCACATAGTGATATGTCTTTTGGGGAGTCTGTTTAAGAATCTATCAATAAAGATATAATTGCAAGTTTGAGAAAATTGCTGTGTTGTTTTTTTTTTAATATAACATTGGTTGGCTACTATGTTTATTGGCTTTCTTGTTCCTTGCACTGTAGTTGCACTAATTGATTGCTGTCAGGATTTTTAACATGGTTATATTTTCATGAGCTTCTCTTAGTGTATATATAGACCCAAAAACTCACGTTCGTGCTCGTTGGTTTCCCTGGGGATTGTTGTCAGTATTTTTGTGTGTATGTTTGATATGGCATTTTCCTTGTGCCCTGTATCTATCTCTCAGACAAGTGAGAAATGGAATACTATATCTGCCTTGACACAGTCAAGTTAAATGCAAAAATAAGACTTAATTAGGAGTTAAATCCAAAAATAAGACTGTGGCCACAAGAATAAATCTAGGATTATAGAGACTGGGAACCGTGGAGCACTTTCTTTACAGAAGCTTAACAGAGGCACACAAGGTATGCATTTCTCACTGTTTACTTTGGAACCATCCTGAGGAACTCTTTTTCTTTGGTCTGTTGCTTGCGAACCTTCAGAAAAGAAATACAGCTGGGTTGTACAAAAGAGGAGAAAGTTAGTGATCCATCAGAAACTCTGCAAAGCATGATAGTAGTAGTTTAAAAGAAGGTGATAAATAGACTGGAAGGAAATAGAAAGCAGCATGTGGGTCACCCCAGCAGCATGATACACTTGGTCTTTCAAGTTTTATGTCCAGTCCAGTATGCCACCTAATACAAGCTTTGATAAACTGAGAGAAGCAGACTCTCCAGCAGAAGGCTTTCTGTCAGCATTGTGTGTGAGATGCAAGTAGTTAAGACTCATTTGATTACTTTTGCTGCTGTAGAAATAGAAGAGTCTATCTCTCAAACATATGGGATACAAACAACTCCTGTATGGGTCATGTTCCCATGGGATTTATATTTTTTCTTCATGTTGTTGATGAATAATACTGAAGGGTATGTCAGTATCTGCCTGAGCCAAGGTGAAAGGAATAATTGGTCCATAACATGTTAAAGAAGAGATTATGCCCTCTTCCCATTCTGTCTTTTTGAAGGGCACAGTCAAAAATGAACTTTCTTGTTCTTAAGACTGATGTGTTGTAGAAAGTCATACTCCAGTCATTGGTTGGTTTCATGTATATATGTAGTGTATGGGCTTCTATGCCTTGAGAAGAGTTGGGAAGGGTGATTGGGACTGGAACTAGGTGTCTGTGCTTATGTTGTGGCTCTCTGGTGAAAGCAAAGCGGGAGGCCCCTGCCTCTGGGAGTGGCTGCTTCCCTGTGTGCATGGAAAGGGAAAATGTGTATCAAGAGGAAATACAAAGTTACCATTATTGTCAAATGATTGTTCGTGTTGCTTGCAGTAGTTACAGTCTGTAACACCTGTCTCCATTCATACGCTCTGTATGCTCTCTGTGTGCGTGTACAGCTGTTCCAAGAATTTTAAGTGTGTTTTTAAATCTTTTAGTACTCTTCTGTCTTTCTGCTTCTACAGCTAGATATATGCTAATGAAGGCCAGATTTATGCTGTTTACTCTGTGGGATAGGGTGTTTTGTTTTGCCCTAGTGACTTAAAATTGTTTTTCTAGATCCCTCAGTGCCATAGTGCTTTGTCATTTTCTCATGGTACTCTTTTTACAGCAGAAAGTGGAGGCTTGTACCTTTACAAGAGAAAAGTACATCTTTCCTGCAAAGTCTGTATAGGCTTTCTCCTTGCAATTCTGCACTTGCCATTTTGGGCCTTGGGACCAAGTAATTTCATTGAGGTGGTAATCTGTACATTTGTCACGTGCCTCTAATTTATTACATATTGCCTGGATATCACCTCTAGGAATATTCCTTTCCTTGGTGTGTAACACATATGAAACTGAACTGAGTACTGAATGAATACACAGTGTTCAAAAGAGTTCATGCAAGTGCTTCAGGATGACCTTTCTGAATAAAAACTACCTTTTGCAGGTTGAGCTTAGTGTATCACAGTAGCTGCAGAATGTATGTACTGTTAGTTTTTTTTTAATTAGCAAGTTTTTTTGGGATGGTTTGGAGGTTTTGTTTTTTTTTTTAAAAAGATGATTGCCAAAGACCTTCATAATGTCAGGAACTTAAAAAGTACATTACGGCTGCATGGATTTGCACTGTAGGAACCTACTTTAGAGGGAAGAACACCTTTGATTTGTGAAAGAAAGTGATCTAATCTGACACATAACCTTTTTCAACTTGTAGCTTCTAATCACTTTCTGGTAGATGAGTGAAGTTCTGTTTAAGAGATTTAAGTGTAGTGGCAATATAATTTTCTTTCCCCTAATAGTTTCTTTCATATTTTTCAAAGATCTGTGACTGTTGATTGAAAACTATTGTGCAATTTTTTTATTGGATGCTAGCTGAACCACAGGCTTGGTGACTACATGTGCCCATTAACTTACTGTAGTAATATCTGTTTTATTCTGACTGACACGGATCCTTTTGGTATTTTCCCTAGACAATCTGCTTCATCTTGGTTCATCATCATTCCAGGATAGTGGTGTCCTTGGGGCTCTCTCTTAACACTGACATGGTACAGAAGATTTAAAATCAGGTATTGTTTTGGGTCCTTTTTTCTGGCCAAAATGAAACACACAACCTAGAACTGAATGAAGTTTTTCTTCCCTTATGTGATTTGTCTCAATATTTTGATTCTTTCAGCTGATGTTCACAAGGAATAGAGTCACGTGATGTATGAAGGCAAACACATACACTTCTCTGAGGTTGACAATAAGCCCTTGTGCTCATATAGCCCCAAACTGTGCAAGCAGAGGCGACTTAACGGCTACGCCTTCTGTATCAGACACGTTCTGGAGGACAAGACTGCCCCCTTCAAGCAATGTGAATATGTGGCCAAGTACAACAGCCAACGCTGCACCAACCCCATCCCCAAGTCTGAGGACCGTAGGTGAGTTGTGGTTTTCTCTCTGCAAACTGGGAAGTGGCTGGGACGCTGTATCTAAGTTGCTGCCTGGTTTCAGGATGAGGAAGGAACTGGCCTGAGTGAGTTATATTCCAGGATGTTCCTTTGAGGATTTTGTTGTAATACCAGTAAACTTTATTTTATTTTTTTGTGGGAGTCAAGTACTCAGCAAGAGGGCAGTAACTTAATCCCAAGGAAGTTTAGGAGAAGAGTTCACTGCTTTTCTCAAATTCACTATAAACCATGGATCAAATCTGCTACACAATATCAGCTGTTATAACTCATTTGCTTTGTCACTTACAGTACAAACCCTTAGAAAGGCCTACTTGTTTAGCCAGCAGGGCCGAAAGCACACTTCCATCTGCTTTTTCTGGACAAGCAGTTGAAAATGCTTATCTTCTGGACATAGGGAACAGTAGACACATAGGGACAAATCCAGAGTTACAATTCAGTGTTGGTGGTTTGGTACTGATCTGTAGTGTTGTTTTACTGGAATAAAATAAATATTACCTGATAACAGGTGAGCCAGCTGGGAAAGTGCCACATACTCCCTTTTTTTCTTTGCTTCCCTTATTTCTCTCCTGCTCTCTACCCAGATGAAGATGCCCAGAGTGCCCAGGTATTAAATTCCTTGCGAAATATAGTCCTTGAAGTTGTTGAGAGCTGGGAATTAAAAGCAAATTTCCTGAATTGCAGCCCATACTGTAAACACAAGGGCATTCTTCCTTGCTCTTTAAGACTTCCTGAACACCAGTCTCATTGGTGCTGTTCAGGCTGAAATAGCAGAATTTGTCTGATCTTGTCTGCCATCTATATGACTTTATTTTTCAGAGCCATCGTTGCAGGTTTTGCCAGTAACACAGTGTTTAATTAATGTGTGTGTTAACTATCTGAGACTTGTTCTCTTAGAAATGCTTTTTTAAACCTAAAATATGAACAAAATATGCCAAAAAAATCAAGTCACTATTCGCTGACCTTTCACATTATTATCTGCCATTCACTAACCTTTTGCATTATTAGCAGTGTTCCCACTGTGCCCTGCATATAACTTCCTTCTCAGCTCACAGCTCCCTCTCTTGTCTGAAACAACAGTTGGACTGTGCTCTAAATTAACTTACACTTCACCTGCCATTTCAGCTGAGGAGACTGATGAAGTGAGAAAAAACCATGAATGTTTGTCAAAAGCTGTAGGGCAAATGCTCAAATGGCACAAGATGAATAACTTTAAGCTGTAATTTGACAGTCAGTGAGTGTTTCTTTGCTACTGTACAATTGAGGCTCTTTGGAAATAAGCTCACAGAAATGATCATAGAAATTGTTAGCACAAATGGTATGCTGTAATTTCAGATGCAAGAGCTGACTGAGAGAGTTCCTGTTTACCAGGGGTCATACTGAAAAACAATAGAAGTAATAGTACTTAATGACACTTTCTTACATCTCGTGTTCCCATGGAATTTGTGATTTTTCTTTACACCTTGAACTGAGTTCACACTTTGTTCTTTTTGATTTTTCTCAAGTTAAAGTGAAGTGTGGTCATGACATCTGGTGTATGTTATATTAGAATAATTCAATTGCATGTCGAGTGTCACATTACAGTACTTGAAGAGGACAGCAGGTGTCTGAAAGAGAAAATAAACTTTTAATTTCAAATGAGAGGATGTGATATTTTGAAAGAATATTTTAAAAGACTGTTTCTCGGGGCGGAGTTTAATTTTAACAATAACATTTAATGAATGTTAGTGATAAGACTGTGGCTTTTTTAAGCTTCTTTTTTTTGGCAGGCAAACCTGTATCTGTTTCTTAGAAGACTTTTTTCACACTCCGTTCAATATAAAGATGTTTGCAGTATCTAAGTTCTTCACTCATAGCTTTTCATTTTCTGTGTACAGAATTACTGTCAGATGGTCATTTTGTCACAGTTTTTAGACATGTAACTGTACATGATCAGAAGCAGGCTGTATGATGCTCTGACAGCTATCTTCTTTTATACTTTGAGAGATGGTTAAAAAAAAGCATTTCAAGAAGCTGCATGTGTTATATGCCAAAAGCTTCACAGTGCGTCCACAGATAATTAAGAAGAATTGTCACTTGACCCCAGACAAATGAGATGCTACCTGCCACAAAGATAGTTAATATGATGCCATATTATTAGATTTCTTATTAACCATTAACATTCTACAAATTAAATCTACTAATAGTGCGTGACTTCATTGCCTTATTTGATGTCTGATTTTTCTATTCACCATCTTGTTTTTTTAAAGAATATATATAATGTGGGATGATACACACGGGTTTTATACCCGTTTTCTCTGAATACATCTCCTACTTCTTTCTTAACCAGATACACACAAAGATAATGAAATGCAACTTGATTTCTAAATATAGGTTTACTACAATTTAGATAGGTTAAGCACTATTTTGTCTCTAATTCTCCTCACTTTAGAGAATCTTTAAATATTTTCTTAATATACAAACTCTTCCCCAGTTTATTTGGATCTTCTTTTAAGTAAGTGATAGAAATGATGCCAAACTGAGGTGTACTAGGAAGCAGAATGCATTCGTAGATAGAAAACCTCACTGTCTGAATTCTTGCCTTCCCAGTAGATGTGGGAAACTGTCCAGCTGAAGTCTTCCGAGCCCATCACATTTTGTGTGCTCCATGTTATTATAATTTTAATGGATATCAACCCACCATATGTGTGGACTTTATTTGACCTTACCTGCACAGAATAAATGCCTTTGGCACTGGATAGGAAGGGCAAAAAACCTGTGAGCGTAACACATTACAAAAGTGACAAACTGAGCCTCTAAGGCTCGTCACAATTGGCTCTTGTAGGGCCGGCTTGACCCTAATGGGTTTCATGCTCAGAGCTTTGTGAAAAGCACTGTACTACTTGCAGATTCGATTCCTGTCTTCCCAGCAATCTGACTTTCATGGAACTTGAACTGCTAATGCAGACTCTGCAGCACCGCATGGAGTCAGAGCCAGTTTAGGCCAGAGCCAACTAAAGAGCTATCCTGGAATGTGCAGGATGGGGAAATGTGGGTGCCTGTCCCCCTGGCTGTGTGCAGGGCTAGCAAGAGCCTGACAAGGTCAGGGCTGAAGTGGTGCTAATGAGAGCTATGCCTAGCCAAAACTGCTTGTGTGCTGTTTTCTTTACCCAGGGAAGACTGAACTGCTCTTCCTGGTTTCTTGCTCCTGTTAGTCCATGGTGTAACAGCCTTGGTTATACTGGAAGACAGGGAGTAGACAGAGCCTAAAGCACAGAGCCAAGTCAGTGTGTACTGGAATTCAAATGTTGTAGCCTGGCATCTGTGGGTTTGTATCCAGAGGAGCCAACTGGCTCTCAGTGATACAGTATGGTCAGCTGTGAGAGCCAAAGCTTTATTCTCTGCCACACAGAGATTATTCTGTTAGAGTTAAATGAACAAGACAAACCCTTAATAGCCTAAAACTCAGAGAATTTTAGCAAGCTTATTACCTTTCCCCAGACTTACTCACCTTTTCTATTTCTTTTCTTACTGTTTTTGCAATGAAAACAGACTATACAGTTCTACCTCCTCACATCAGCACAAGCACAGGATGACAATAATTTAAGTTATGAACAATATAAGGGAAGTATTTGTGTTTAGCAAAATACTCTTCTTATTGGCATAAGAGGGAAAATAATTCCCTTGTGTTTGTTTAGTCTGTTTATTGGGTTTTTTTCGTCTGTCATACTAAAAGTGCTGTGGTAACTGTTTGAACAAAATATTTAAAAAGGGCTTAATTTTAAATATGGAAACAGTACTTGTTGACTTTAAGGGAAGCTTTATTGAGCCCTCATTATATTTTATTTTTAGAAGTGCATCTCTCAGTATGAATTTACAGTATTCCAGTGTGTTCTAATAAGGACTGCACAAGTTGTTGGCTTCTAGCTTGCCTCATCTAGGTTTATTTATTACTTACAACATAATGTAATGAAGAAATTATTTAGGCAATAATAAGTAGCAGCACTTTTCAGTCTTTTCTGATTTGTGAAACCTTAGGAGTGTGGGTCTCTCAAGAAGCTACATATATGGAGACCGTTAAAAAAGAGAAAGCATATATGAATTTGCTTTCTCTTTTTTCCCTTTTAAGGACCCTTTAGAGCTGTTCACACATTGTTTCTTTAGAAATGGGTCGACAAGTTGAAAGTGACTAAACTGAAGTGCTAAACATTTCTGGGGGGTTGTCGGGCTTTTCTGCCATTTTTTGCTCCATGAAGACCAGAAATAATATAATTTTAACCAATTTTTTTCAACAAAACTTACTGTTCTCAGATTCCTACTAATCAGATTTTGAAGAATACCTTTGTGGGTATTTCATTATCTTGTCCATAATTATCTTGATGCAGACATCACTCTTTCCTTGTATCTTTGGTCATCTATAAATTGTAGGTTATAGGTGGGATTCTGCAAGGGAAAATTTTGATTGTTGGTGAATTCTACAGAGGCGGGAGTGCCTGCCTGTGGCATACAGGAAAAAGATCACATCATGGTTCCTAAATTACTGTCACATGCTGGTTCCAATCAAACAAAAGTTAATTGCTTACTTTTAGCAAGTTATCTGTGGCATAAATTGTAATTATTTTTACGTTCATGACGTTCATGACTTCAGGATTTTCAAAGACCTTTTTGCTTTCTTTTTTTTTTCATAGCATGACTTTGAAAGCTTTTCATATTAGAACTTAAAATCCGTGCTTGTGGATAGTATGTATACATATTTCTGGCGTAGTGTAAATGCTTTCTAGCAGCAGAGAATTTGTTTTAAACTAGATTTTTTTTTTGAAGAGTATTCAGCTAGTCCTCTGGCTTCAAAATTCATCATATGAACTACTGAAACAGAATTTAAGTATTTATGCTACTTGTTCAGTAAGTGGAAATAGTGATTTTTCGTAGCACATATCTATCTACTGAGATTGTCCTTACAAGAAACTTCTCCCTACTACAGTGGAATTCTAAATAATAGTAATAATAATATGTGCATTGATGAAAATGTTAACTACTTCCACTGAAAGAATGGGCAAATGAAAGGAAATAGTCTTCAATGTAATTTTTCCTAGGATCTTTTGAACTGATCAGTTAATGGCATTCATTCTTGCTGCTTTGTGTATCAGACTGTCCATTTGTTTTGTTCACTTTGGATTTTGACTGTTTACCCTCTTAGAGAGTTAAGATTTTGAATGATTGTATGTGATTCTCCTATGAATAATGAATGAAGAATCTTATATCTTAAGATTAGAAATAGTCACTTGCATAATATTTTTCCTGCTGGTTTGGGAGCACCACAGTTATCTGTTGTATTAGAAGTAGTTGTGTACAATTTTTATAAAACCTCGTGTGTTTCAGTTTGTATTTGCTTAAGATGTGTATGCAGGTTTCTCCTAAGATTTTACTTATGGAAGTTTAGTTAATAACTGACTGCTTTTACCTTTCAAAGGTACTGCAACAGCCACCTGCAGGTACTTGGCTTTATACCGAAAAAGGAGAGGAAGAAAAAGAATGATCCCATAGAGGACGTAAAGGTCAGGCATCAGATGGATGCTATGGCCTTCAGTCTGACAGTGCCCACCCTGGCCTTGAAGATGCCCAATGGACTGGATGGGATGTCCCTGTCCCCTCCAGGGGCGAGGCTTCCTCTCCACTACCTGGAGGCAGAACTAGAAGACCCCTTTGCTTTCAATGAGGAGGATGATGACCTAAAGAAAGGGGCAACAGTGAAGAAAAAGTTGCAGAGCAAGTTGGCTCAAAACCGGCAGCGCCAGAGAGAGACAGAGATTTTAAAAGTTCGCCAAGAGCACTTTAGCCCCATTCCTGCACCTTTGCAGCAGCAGCCTCTGCAGCAGCAGCACTCCCATCTGCCACCTTCATCAGCTTCGTTAAAGCCGACAGGGCTACCGCAGGGCATAGTCTGCAAGTCACCTCAACCTCTGAACACCAGCCTACCAATGCAGGGAGTGGCACCCACCACACACACTATAGCACAAGCACGGCAGTTGTCTAACAAGAGACCTCTGCCTCTCCTGCCACCCGCCAGGGCTCCTGTCACGGACCCGCCAAGGACTGACCGGGTCCTCATGAAAGCCACAGCCTTCTCTCCGCACTCGTCCTGCATGAGCCGGCTCCAGAGACTGGTGAAACTGTGCACTCGAAAACAGCAGCTGGACACTGATCTGTTTCCTCACTTAGGTGAGTACGTTGTAGATGCACTGTGGCTGTGTTTTTTAACCTGAAACCAAAAGGCTAAAGGGGAATGTCTTCCCAGCCCTGTCCTGCATTCTTGTGTGGTCCTTACAAAATAACCCTCAGCTAGGTAATCTCTTGGCATTTTCTTTAGCCCTGTTGTCTGTAAAGGAAATGCCTGGACCCATCACAAATGGTTGACAGCATTTTGGTTGTTTATTCTTCTTAATGTTCTGTTAACCGTTTGAGAAGTCAAACTGAGGTGTAGAAAACATTGTTTGGATTATAGAGACCTCATGTAGAAGGTTTGCAACTCAAATAGTAAAGGTGACACTAGCAGTACCTACATGAGTGGACAAAGTTAGATTGAAACATTAGGTGTGTGATAAGTGCACGTGGCATGATGAATATAAGTAAAAGTTTGGCAGTTTGGCCTATCAGTCTCTGCAAATTCGAAATTCCAGTTGACTTAATTGGAAAATTGGAACACATGAGAATCTTTATTGACTGAGCCCTATTTATGTATAGAATATGGATGAGCAAAAGGAAAAGACCACTTCAGGAGAGCAGCATTGTTACAGGACGTAGTTGGATAGGTGTAGTCTTGTCTGCATACTGTGCAGAAGTAGTGTTCCCCTTACATATAATAATCAATAGCTGCTTGTGAAAATATAAGCAAATATAACCAAATTGGTGCTATGTAAGCACCAATAGTAGTAGTAATAGATAGCAGTGCTCTGTAAACTTTGAAAAGGCAACTGACTTTCTGGCTGATTTATCTGATTGTAAATATAGACCTAGGCACACCTATCTGTCCTTTTTATCTTCCTCACCCTCCCAAGTTACTTTTCTGCTCAGTTTCAGATTGTACATTTCTAACAAGTAAAATACTGGCAAGGAAAAGGAAATATGAATCTGTGTGTTATAAGTAGGAATACCATTTATGATGTTTAAAATAAAAAAATATGTCAGATAAGTCCAGACATTCCCTATATAATGTCTTATTTAATCACGAACATCTGTAATTTTTGCTATTTCAATTAATTTTTTCTTAATTTGCTGTTAACATCTGCCCTTTGGCACTCATGGGATAGTTTGACTATTTGTTCAGGAGATAATTAGCATCCCATAGCATGTCTCCAAAGGAAATTGTTCTTCAGAAAACAGCTTTGATTGTCCTATATATAGTGCAGGTCTTTAGAGGAATGGCAACTCCAGAGGCATTTCTGAGTGTCACAGACCTCAATAGCTTAGAAAGTGACCTGTGTTTTGAAAGACTCTAGAAAGATCCCTTTCTGTGCTTAATGTTCTACATTCTCAAATGGTGAAGAGAATACGTTTTTCCAAAAAAGAGGCATAGTAAAAATAAAAACCAGTTAGACCTATGCATGTACAGTTAGGCAGGTGCATAACTATGTGGATGCATTTAGAACAGTTTATATTTGGCAAAGTAAAGGAATTTACATATTAATTATGGGAGAGTGGAAAATTTATTTGTTATTTAGTCATTATAAGCCTTAATATTAAAGGCTAGGTACACCAGAGAATTTCAGGATTTGTTTTTTATACTTGATCAGCGCTAGAGATGACTGCACAGAATCTTTCAAAAGATTAAGCCAGTTTTATATGTACCAACATCAGAGCCATGTAATTGGATATGAATGTAACTGCAATCTTCAGTGTCAATATAGATAAATCTGGATTAGATTTTACTCCTTCCTTTCTGCAGTGCCCAGGATAAGTAAAACAACTCAATTTCTGATTTGGTTTTTAAACTTTGGGTTAACAATTTATTGTGTGGTTGTCAATTGTGGACATCCTTATGGAATTATTAAGTAGTTTTTTCATTCCTTTGTGGAGGAGACAACAGGAAAAAGAAACATTTAAGTTGAAAGTGTAATTCTCTCATTTTATCAAATGTCTTAAGGTCTCTTAATGTAGTTTAAAGGTATGTCTTAAAAAATAAAAACAAAAAATAAATTTTTTAGGATGCTGAAGTTCCTGAAAATGTGGGTTTCTGTTATCTGTGGTTCATGTTAAAGTGCTAGTTCTATATGATGAAGAGTTATCTGATAATTGTATTCTAGGCATGTGTGTGTCTCTTAACTATTAAAGTTCTTGACCAAATACTGAAATACTGATGCATTTCCCCAGTTCAAGGCATCTGACTTCAGAGTCATCTCAGATATAGTTGTTCAGTTTAGTTTTAGCAAAAATGAAATGCTCCTTAATTCTATCAGTTTTCAAGGAGCACACAAGAAAATGAAAAAGCAAAAAATACTGCCTTGTAAATGCAGCAATGGGATTTTGTCCCACCTGATGCAAGAAGGTGGCAAGAATTTCACTGGATATGTGAGAGAGAGTTGGGAAAACTAGAAAAGATGAAGTTCCAGATAAAATGTTCCATCTGAGAACTTACTGGCCTCTTTCTGGCTGTCCTGTTCAACAGCTGTGTATAGGTTGGCTAACTGAGGCTGCCAGAACTCATACTGCATCATAATTAAGTGAAAACATGCTGCTTGGTGAAAGGGCAGGAGTTTATATCTCTCTCCCTTTAGCTCTTTCTTCATGCTAATATGTGCATTAGGCAGGCAATTACAGAGACTGAGCAGAGGAACATCCTGGGTAGCTGTGTCTCTATCTCTGTCCATGCTGCCGTGTCTTACAGTTTTCATATTCTTCTGTGTTTTGGCATAGAAAGGGGTCAGAATATAAACAGAAATTAAATTGGCCTATTTAGATCATATAGTATTAAAATTTACCAAGTAGTCATTCCTTCATGACAAGGGTTTCTCTCTTACCTCGTATTTGGTTATGAAAACTACTATTTCTCTGTGGGTAAAATAGTTGGTGATTTTTCTTCTACTGTTTATGGATAATGAAGCCAGTAAGGATTTTAAAAGGAAAACTCAGTTATGGCAAAAATCAGTGTATACTATTTGCATACTGTAATGAAGCTGTTACTGTAGCTTTTCCTGTATAATTGGAAAAACTGCATGATTTAATCAAACGTAATTATGCTTGCAACTATACTATACATTCATCTTTTGTGCCAAAGGTTACTCAGAGGCTTATTTAAGGTGGATGCTCTTTTCATCCAATTTCCATGTTTTCAATTCCCTTAGGGCTGGATTGGTCTGAAGACAGTGGAGAAGAATTGGAGGATTCAGAGCAAACCTCCCCTTACCAGGTTGCGTGGTCTATCCGAGAAAGCCTCGGCTATGAGAGACCTGAGTGAGTATGATTCTTTAGTATTCGTGCTGGCCTTGATGGAGCAAATCATGCAAATGTGAGCTTCACTTCAAGTGGAGTCAGTGGAACCTAAGCACTTGTTCAAGTGTTTTGCTGAAACAAAGGATTGTTTGAACTCATTTGTTTGTAAGAGCTATGGAACAGCTTGTCACCTTCTGTCCCAGTTTCCAGCTAACTTAGAGACCTTTGTGCAGTCTGCTGTCAGAAGGATGCATCAGGAAGGGATTTAAGCTTGTTTGCCTGAATTTAATTGAGTTTAGTGGGATTTAGTAATGAACTTGTGTGCCTTGATGTTTGGAGGTTCTGAATTAGAATTAAATGGAGTTGCTGTTGGTTTCTTGTCTTTCCTACTGGTTGTGAATAACTTTGTCAGTAAACTTGCTACATTTTACTCATTAATTATTGTAATAATTATGTAGGCTGTTGTTTTAATGTGCTTTTTTAAAGGCCATGGTATTTCTTTTAGTAATTAAGTGTTGAATAAACCTCTGTCAGTACTTGTGACCATTGGAAGGAAGTTATGGGACCAAAAGGATAAGCAGAGCAGGAATTAGCTGCTGGTGCAGGAAGGCTTATGATGTTCTCTATATAATGCTAAGTCACAAATCTAAACTTACGGCAGGATATGATAATATAGGCCTGTTGATGTAAATATGAATGTGCACAGTTAAAACAAAGCATCCCAGGTGTAGTATTGTAACAAAACTGTTGTATGTTATTAAAGAAATTGGGGTCTCACTAGAATTTGATTATAGTTTCTGTAACATGACTCTCATTCACTGTCCGACTGGACTTTTTGATACTGCAACTTTCCTATATTTTTCAAATTTTTCACTATTGCACTTAAGATTTCATTAACACCATTATTCTATTTTGTTGTTACATTCTGAAAATTCTGAAACTTACTAGAATTTCCTGCCATCTCTGAAGATTGTCCTCAAGGTGAACAACAAAGCTGTGTCTCTGTCATTAGGACATACACACCAGGATGCTAAATATTAAGAGCCTTCAGTGAATCAAAGCTATTAAGCAGATTGTAGACTTCACTTTTTTAAAATAAAGGGGTTTTTTTTGTTTTGAATGACTTGTTTTTTAGGGCATCAGCAGTTTTAGAGTGAGCTTTCACAAATGTTACTTCTAACTTAAAAGGAACTTTTAAATAAAATGTTTTGGGAAAACGTGAACAGACTTTCAGACTTCTAAATCATACATAATTTTTCACAGCAGATAGATCTATTAAATAACTTCCCTTATACTCTTCTCTCTTTGACATTTAATTTGATTCTTCCATAGATCCCTATTTTTTTGTCAACTTATGAATGTCATCTCTGTATGTTTTGTCTTCTATTTGTCTTAACTTCCTTTGGATTCGTCCTACTCTTTTCACATACTGAGAGAAAATAATAGTTTTCCTGACATTTTCTGTTCCATTCTAGCATTCTGTGCACCTCAATTTAATGCTTTCTTAACTATCCACGATAGATAAATTTTTGGATGCAACTAGCTGCTTTTGTACTTCCATCACTCTGCTCAGTGTTAGTTCTTCAACAGCCTTACTGATTTTGATCATGGATAAGCATTCACTTGATGTCAGCCTTCTTAAACTTTAGTTCCTATTCTGCAAACTTCTGTAGAGGTTTTTCTTACCTGAAATGTTGCACTTTGACACTTCTGCAGTGTGGTCTGCTTGCCACTGAAGATTAATTAGTTCAGGCTGTTTCTGAGGAGATTTGATTTGTCAAAATGACTCCATCTTGCTAATCTGGTGGTACAGACTGGTGACTCCTAAAGTCAGCCAGTGACTGTTACAGTTCTGAATTCTGGGGGCTTATTTTACCAGAAAACCAACAGAGATTATATCCCAAAACTTTCAGCTTTTGAGATCACATCCTAAACTTAGGGGATTTACTCGCTGGTTTTCATAGTAAAATTAAAGCTTTTTTTTCTCTATTCATTTGTATCTGAGCTTGTGGTCCTCACCAGCTAACTGCATTCTGTCATTTTCCTTTTGACTACATGGAAGACCGTGGGAGGAATGCTTCTCAGAATAGACTATTGAAAGAAAGTGAACAGCTAACTTCTGCTTTACTGGACAGCTGGTTCTCAGCATTTCAGGTTGTGTGATTGTGGGGAGAACCTCTGTTGAGCTTCTTGTGCGATACTCTAGCTGCTCTTAAACTCTAAAAAATTCACCAGATTTGTTTAAATTTAAAGTGTCCTGGTTTTGGCTGGGATAGTGCTCATTTTCTTCTTAGCAGCTGGCACAGTGCTGTGTTTTGGGTTCGGTGTGAGTGCAACGTTGATAATGAATGCTCTGATGGTTTGGCTGTTGCTAAGTAGTGCTAGCCCTAGGTCAAGGCCACTTCAGTTCCCTGTGCTTTGCCAGAGAGGGGGTGCACCAGAAGCCATCAGGGAGCACAGCTGGAACAGCTGACCCCAACTGGCCAAGGAGATACTCCACAGCCTAGAACATCACGGCCAGGACATAAACTGGGGGGAGCCGATTGCTGCTTGAGATGGGCTTGAGATGGGCTTGAATATCAGTCAGTGGATGATGAGCAACCGTGTAGGGCATCACTTGTTTGTCTTGGGGTTTGTCTTGTTTTTTTTTTTTCTCCATTACAATAAATAATAGTAGTATATTTGACTTTGTTTCCATTAATAAGCTATTCTTAGCTCAACCCACAAGGTGTTTTTTTTCTGATTCCCCTCCTCATCCCACTAGTGGGAGCAGGGAGAGGGAGCATGCAGGGAGAGGGAGCATGTAGCACTGTGGTACTTGGTTGCTGGATAGGGTTAAACCATGACAACAATAATACATTTTTTTGGTTCACTTGCCTTCTGGCCTTTTAATCTGTAAAATTCATATTGTTGCAATCATCTGTGGAAACGCAGGCCAAATGTTTGCTTTTATTATTCTGTGCTTTAATTTTGAAAAATTGTGTTCCTATGCTCCCAGGATTTTGGGACGCAGTGCTTCGAGGCAGGCACAAATGTTTGAGTTCAAATAGTGCAGGAGTTGGCAGTGGGCACAGTGCAGGCTGGGTGCTGGCAGAGAAGGTTGCTGGGGTGGGAGAAATCCCTTGTGGGAGCAGCAATTTCGAAAGAAAGCAGGGGCTGTTCCCTGCTGCAGATTACTGAAGCTTCCCCCTAGATTATTTGATTACTGAGTCTGGTATCTTAGAAAGTGCTGGAAAACAAATTACTTTATAACAAAGTATTTTTTTACTTCCTACACTGAAATGTAGATAAAACAAACATTTCAAGTATCATGTTTGAAAAAGGAGTGCGAGTCCCTCCTCATACCGGCTCACTCGAAGGATTAAATATCAACACTGTCAAAAGTTGGATTTAATAACTCCCAATAACTAGGATAACTAAAAGAGAGAAGAAAGAAGGGAAGGTTCTTCAAAATGCTCTGTAAGGAGGGATTTGAAGTATAGTTGCTGGGGTGTCTCAGAACAGAGAGCATGTTTTCCTCATTCCCTGGTGGTGCCTGGCTGCTTGTGTTACCCTTTTGCTCTTCCTTTCTGCTGCTTCGTGCCGTCTTTGTTTTCTTCCTGAACACTCAGCAATAATCCTCCTGATGTTTGCACATGACAGTCTGAAAGGGAAGGGTTGGGAGAAAGCATTTTGAATTATCAAATGGCTCATGTGCACTTTGAGAAATCTTTGTAAAAATGGAATGCCACACGTTAAGTTGAACTTCAGAAGTTCTATATGCAGCTTAGGAGAATAAACTAAATAGAATTTGGCAAACTTGTTTATGAAAGAACAACAATAAAAGTATCTTTCATTTTTATGCCTACTGAAGAAAAAAGTTTTGTTTTGATATTTTTAGGTTTCTTTGAACATATAAATGTTTTGGCTAATCTTACTGGCCTGGGAACAAAGTTCTGAACAGGCTTTTAGAAACTGGCTTTTAGAAATTTTGGCTCAAAATAAGCCCTTGCCCACTGCAGGCATGATTTCTTTCTATACTTTTGATATAGGTCTTAATCTATTTTTAAAAAAGATCTCATAAACTTGAGCTCAAAAATATTTTAGCATACAATGACATTTTTCCTGACTCTTTCAATGTGAGAGAAGTAAAACTTCTCAAATACAGAAAAATGTATATTAAAAAACACTTTACACACGAAAGAAACTTCTTTTCCCTAAGGGATACTCTTGTTATTCCTAGGGTTAATTTTTAACCATATTTAAAATTAAATCAGTAACTTTGTTTAAAAGTCTTGGCCCAGAGAAGTAATGAAATATCTAAGATATTAAACCTGTCAATAAATATATGCTGTCCATATTTTCCTCTTTTAGTAATACACTAGAAAAGGAAAATCTATATTAAATAGTCCACAGTCAATTATTTCTAAACAGGTAGTTTTCCCCAGTAAACTTTCTTTCCTAAGAGATCTTAAAAGTGTATTCTTTTTTAATTTTCAGTGTAAAAACATCCTAATCATTACATATGTTAAATATTTTTCACAGGTTATATTTATTGCTAAGCATGTAATGGCAGAAGTTAATTACTTGAAATTTATGCTTCTAGAAAATAAGTTTTAATCTGTTTTAAGAGACAAAAGACATAGTATGGTTGACTTTACATAAAACTTCACAAATGCATTTGTGTCAAAGGCAGTGTTTGCTGCTGCGGAGTTTTCATGGAAAGCCTTAGTGGAAATGGCTGCATTCTCTTCCATTTGACCTGTGTGTAAATAGAGTCAGAGTTTCCAGAAAAGAAAGTAGGTCTTCACCATATTGCCTTTCAGGGACAGATCTGCTGTCTGTGTTTCTGGATCTTTATTTAGTAAATATCATGGCTGGTATTTCACTGGTCTCAGTGGTGGCCTCCTTCGCTGTACGCAGGTTTGGGTGTCAGCTCGTTCTGTCCCAAGGGCTCTGAACATCGTCAGCTTTTGGTTTACTTCATTTGTTTGGATTTCTCATCTCTCCCCTGCCCTTTCTTTGTGTTACAGACAGGAAAGTTGGCAAAAAGCTTCTCTGTTCTATAAGAAAAAATTAGAGGAAAAGCTGAACAGAGTCTGCTTAGATTCAGTACGTGTATTTTGTTGCTCCATGAACAAAAAACTCATTCTGCAAACTAGTGCTTGTTGTGGAGAACTTCTAGGTAGCCTCATGGACCTTGTTGTTTTAACCAGTTCCAGTAATGATTTTCTGTTTCATGACTTTTACTTCATCTAACTGAATGTGTTGACATGGTTTGATGGTCTTGTTCCTGGACATTCAGAGAGCCAAGATAAATGGAGAAGGGCTTTCTTAAGCCAACAAAGAGTTGGATTAGTACTTCATCCGGTCATTGCTTAGCCCTGGTCTATCTTTACCTCAGTATCCTTGAGTTAAATGTGAATTTCTTCTCTACTATAGTACTGTAACTCAACTGGAACTCTGCAGCAAGGGGAAATCAGTATCAGCTGTGTATATTTTAGTTTAAAAAGAATAAAAGAAATTGGAAGAAGTCAGCAATTTAGGAACTTTTTGGAATTTGACCATCTTATCCAGCCTGATGGTTCCTCAGTAAATTTCCACACAATTCCTCACCCTTGTCTTCTCCATTAATTGCACTTTGATTTAAGCATTGGTCTCATTTGCTGAGACATTTACAGTAAATAAAGGTTAACGGTATAGATTTCTTTTTGAACAGCAGGCTCTAGACATTTAAATGTGTCAGACTTGATGATAAATTGATGTAATCTCTAATAATGACATACTAAGAAGGACAAATACCTTTAGAATTTAAAAGGGATCCTGCTCTTGCTATTTCTCAAGTAACACTGCCTGATTTCAGTTTTTGGATGTTTGCGTGGCTAGAAGATGGATACCAACTTAACAATTCTATTAGAATGACAAATTAGCTTAGAGGGAAAAAGAAAAAGTAACTTAAAGCATATTTGTTTTTATTTTCCCTTCTTCAGGTCCGATGATGACAATGCAGATGACAGGAGTTCCAGGGTGACCAGACTTTGCACTTACTTTCAGCAGAAATACAAGCACCTCTGCCGCCTGGAGCGGGCAGAATCTCGCCAGAAGAAATGCCGGCACACGCTCCGGAAAGCCTTGCTGCAGGCGGCCAGCAGAGAGCCGGAGCGCGCGGGGCAGCTCCTGCAGGAACTCCGGAGAGCTACGTGTGCTTGTACCAGGTTAGACCTGCCCTGTGACTGCAGGAGCCTGGGGCTGGGCCAGGGTGGAGATGGGCTGAGCATCCAGCAGCTGAAATGATGAACTCTGAAACTGCTAGTCATGCACAAGGCAGAAAAAACGTGACATATAAATGCTTGTCAGAGGAGTAAAATAAACGTGGCATACAGGCCTTCTCCAGCTTTATGTTTTTAAATGTGGATGGTTTGTTCAGCCCAAATATCTGGTCCTTTACTATGCCAGTAGAAGGTGTGCTGTCTGGTCTGTAGTTCACTGCTTCAATTCAGGTTTTGTTTTTCAGACAGCTTTTTTTGAAAAGTCTGTACCTCCTCTTAATTACCTTCCAGCAAACCAAATTTAAGCTCATGCTTTTTGTTAGATTTAACTCAATCTAACATTAAATAAAACTTGGCAACAAAATATATAACTTCTAACAACTTTGAAGGTTATCTTCTGCGGGAATTCTTTCTAGATAATGTCAACATCCCTCTAGCTCTCAGCATATGGAGAGTTGGTTTATTCATATTCATGCAGGAACAGACCAAGTCTGAAGCCTGGTGTTACATTTGGGGTATCAGAAGCATCGTTTTGCTGTTGTGGTTTTGCTTTACAGGGTGTATTATTGTGGGGTGTAGCGGATAGTATGAGATGCAGATTGGAGCTAAGTACTGAGAATATATTCTGTTTAATGGGATGCTTTTGTTCCTGGATAGTGGGATGTGGTTCATGACAGTTGGAGGGTTCATTTTTGGAGAGGTTGACTGATTCTGAAGAGCTGCTCTGAGGTGTAACGTAGAAGTCCATTACTAGGTTACAAAGTTGTGTATAAATTTCTCCAAACTTAAACTACAACAAAAGTTCACCAGAATTGACAAACTCTTGCTGGTTTTTTTCCCCTATTATTTTTGCCTTTTAGTAAGCAAAAACAGTTTACATTGTTTTGGGTAGACCAGCAAAGCCAGGTATGCCTGTCATCACTGCTCTGGTCAATTTAAGTAACCACAGAGTCTTTTCAGATACAAAATTTTTCACAGGAGTAATACTGCTAACTAAAACTTTGCTCAGTCAAAGTGCAGTTGATGACAGAAATGGCTGAAGGAAAACAGTCAGGCTACAGACAGCTTTTTGTCAACCTAGAAAACAGCGTGTACAGAGGTGCAAGTCAGCCCTGGAATCGCCAGCTTTATCTCCATGAAGGTGACACATGCCTGGAGAGCAGGCTAACCCCAAGCGAGCTGTGTAACGCTTGAGTACTCGTTCACACTGCTGTCTGGTCGCTGCTTGCAGCTCAGGCTCAGAGCACAGAGGCTGTGTTGGGGAAGCGCCCAGCTCCGGGCACCTGCTGCTGGATTGGGCTGTAGCACGTTGATGGAGGAGAGCTTTTATCCTTGTTGAGCACGCTCAGGCTCTGCCACTCCAGAGCTCAGTCTAAGTTTGTCTGAGCACATGCTTGCATGTAAGCTCTGGGGATGCTCGGCATGTTTTGATTTATGAGCAGGCTTGGAAGTGCACTTGACTCCCATCTAGGTGTACCCAGTACATTGAATTCTAAAGACTGACCTCATTTTGAGAGTCACCTATGTTGACACTCACCTACTGCTGCCCTTTCTGTTGCAAGGTGTTGTAATATTTACATGGTAGCAGCACATAGCACCTCTCATTACAATTAAGGCCCTGTGAAATAAGAAATAATCCTGTTACTACAGTCACACCTTCACCTGTCATTGACATCTATTCTTTGTCCCTGTGTAGAGCCTGGTAGTAGTGTGCACCCATCTGGACCATGACACACACACACACACACGTGTGTTAGAGTTCTTCATCCTACTGTGCCACATTCAGTATAATAATTGTGTTGAGTAACCACCTGAGACTGGGGCTTTATCTGTAAACTCTTTCATGCTTTCTTTTCAGCACAAGCCAAGCAAGGCAGAGAGAGGCAGAACCAACAACCTGCAGTGGGACTTCGAAGGGAGAGCAGTGCACTAACAAGGCCCTTCCATTCACCAGGCACTGTTTTCAACGTATCCTCTTAACTCTGTTTGGGAGTTGCATTCAGACGTGGAAGCTGTTCTGTTTTAGGAGGTGTTTTGTTTGTTTGTTAGATTTTTGCATGATAACTAAGTTTTCACAGAGAAATACCTATTTGTTAGTGTGTCATCAACTCCTTTGCTTTTAATTTGGCTGTGTGATTTGGGTCTGTAGACAGTGAGGATAAGTAGTCTGCTACTGGTATCTGTAATAGAAACATCATTTTACTTCGTGAGCTGTATTTAGTGTGTGCAAGAAGCCTTTACAAAATCCTTCACAATGACTTGGTACAAACTAAGTGACTTTCAGCTTCTTGGCTTTCATACAGCTCTTGGTAGGTTCCAATAGACCACCTTCCTGTGATGGTTTTTTGGAAAAAGGTTTTTATATATAGTATAAAAAGATGGCTTATGCTGACTAGAAAGGTGGAAATCATACTTTGTGTTGTTTAAGGAAGCAAAATAGAAGGAATCACAGAACCTCATAGTCTGGATGAGGAAGGGTTAGGAAGGGTTCCCTGTGCTTGGAATTTCAAACAAATCTTGGAAAGGATATTAAAAGTCAATGACTGAAGATTTCAGAAAGAAGAGAGCACATTAGATGTGAGTTTTGGTTCTGAAGACTATAAAAAGGCAGACTTATGACCTGTAACACTTAAAAATTCTGTGGATTTATGACCTATAATACTTAAAAATTCTGCAGACTTTGTCTTTTTTGTTTTGAGCTGAAGAATTGTTGGTGCTTTTCTTGGGCTGACTGCCTTTGTTGGGGCTTTTGGTTTTAATATTAAAAGTGATTTGTGCTGATGTATTCAGCTACTATCAGACTGCAGCACCTTTCCAATCTTCTTGTTTTGTAGGTGCCTTGTTTTTATTGCATGATTTCTTGCAGGCCACTTAAGAGCAATCTGCAGAGCAGTTCAAAACCTCTATGAGAGATCACCATGGCATACAGCTGTTTTTGGGATTTGCCTCATGATTCTGATGGGATTTGTTTGGGTATTTTTTAAAATTTAAGTGGTCTCTCTTGCTGCAGTGTGTAGAGAAGGGTAGTCAAGAGTAGCGATTTTGCATATTTGCCCATTTTTTGTCTCTGCATTTTCTTCTCTAAAATGAACAGGTTCTTGGGTCTGACCCATCCACCAAGTCTGCCATCTGGATTGTTCTGCAGGTTTTTAATTTTCTTTTTATTATTTTTTTTAACATTGTATAAACATACATAGTGATGTTGAGGTCTAAGAACTGTTCAAGATGGAAGGAGTGCTTCTAATGTTGTTTGAAAAAAAGACACAATGAAATATCTGTTTGATTTGCTGTAAGTCTGGAGACATTTTTACTCCTGCTAAGGATTTTTCTGAAGGAAATCTCTGCAAGCTTACATGTGGATTTACTTGACCTTTCTGTCTGCTTGCACATCTTTTTTTTCAGAGGAGCAGGAAGGATCTTGAAACTTCTTTCTCTGTGCTCTAAAGATAAATGCCAAGAATGTACCTTAAAAGATTGAATTAAGAAATACTTTTTCTTTAATGTTTCAGTATGGATTGTCATTAGTCTGTAAGGAAATAGTCCTGTTGACTGCACTGTTCCAACTGCTACTATTGATCTATTGATTAAGACTCCAGGAAAAAGCTTCTTTTTGCTAAGAACTCATTAGTGAAATGGCTGCTTTTATAAAACTATCTCAGTATATAATAAAATCATTAGAGATTCTGCATGAATGCAGTTTTTTCACTTTAAAAGTTGGGTTTGAGCCTTACCTAGCTTTGAACTTCAATAGCAAACTTAGGGCACTCATTAAAAATAATACCTATGGACAGATAGAATTGAAGGCTCTGATCTTTATCAGATTGATAAATCAAAGGGCGTTCCTCCACCATTGCCTTGTGTTATTCCTGATGCAGAAATGCACAGATATCTTATTGAACCGTTCTCAGCAGCTCTTCTCGAGTTGCACAGCCAAGTTTGCTGATGGTCAACAGTGCTCTGTGCCAGTTTTTGACATTACACATCAGACACCTCTGTGCGAAGAACATGCCAAAAAAATGGTAAGTACAAAGCCATCATTGTATTTATTTGTGTATTGGGATGATCAGGAGTTTTAACCCCAGTCTTCCTATGAAGCCTTCCTTGACAACTAGCAAGTTTATGAACTTGAGCTTGTTTGCTATTACTTTCTTAAAAGGGTAAAACTTGCCAACCATTTCCAATTAGTATAAAGTATATCGTGAATATATTTTACGTAGTTTTGAGGATATAATAAAATATACATGGGAATTACCTCTTACCTTATACATGGGGATTTCATCTTCACTGGAGGAAATTTGATTATTATTTTGAATTGAGAAGTAGAAGGTCATTGTGAGAGATCCTGTGGTCATTTTATTTGGGTTCACTCCTGGTCCTTGGACCTGAATATAATATGAGTGTAGTATTAAGAACACTTAAGCAATCTCTGTATAGGGGACCCAAAGTACTTGCTAAAGGAAATGTAGATAGCAATTACAAGGATGCAAATAATAGGTTTGCTACTTTACTTACTTTTTAGTAACTATTAGAATTTCTATAATATCCTTCAGGGATCCATGGATCCCAGAGAAAAAGCAATGGCCTACCTCAAGTTGAGAAAATGGAGAAATAAAGTTGATGTCCTCTGCTCTCCTTTTATGACTCAGTCTTCCAGAACAAAACCTCTAGGATAATTTACAAACCCACTTCGGTCCTGCCCCTCCTTCAAGGCTTATTGTCCTACGTTCATTTAGGTGTAAAACTGCCTTTGTTGTTTTGTTCTGTTGGGTTATTGAAAGTTTTTTGATGCTGTTTTTGTCCAACCTCTCCAATAGTTGTGAATTACAGAGTTTTTTGGATTAGAATGTGAGGGTTTGTGCTACACAGATCTGTATGGGGTTTCCCCTCTTCTAGGCAATCTTCAGTATGTCTCTCAAGGTTTACTTCTGTAGCAAATGTAATCTTCTGCCATTCCCTTCTGATGGCAACTGAAGACTGATGATGGTTTGATTTATTTTTTAATGTGTCAGTGATTGCTGTTCAGAAGCAATGAGGCCTTAATTGTTTACCCACATGCTTATCCTTGTCCAGCAGTATTAATTTTGTCTCCTCAGTGCCATCCTTCTGTTATGTCAGTGAGCACTTCAGGATTCTGGCTTCAGCTGCTGCACATTATCCACATTAACACCACTTCACAACAGCATTTTGTCTTTAATGCTTAACAGGAGTGCTGCTAAAGGTTAGGGCTTTGCACTATTTAGTTAGGGTTTGCTATGATGATTTTTAAAGTGACATTGCACAATCTCCTATTTACAATACCTCATAATTAGGTCTATATTATTTTTGCCGTTGGGGTCAATGAGGAAGGAAACAGCTCAATTTTTGAAACTGTGTCTGGGTGTAAGCTAAGAGTCCCTCTTACATTACATTCCACATGTTTGTGGAATGACCAGGGTGAAAAAAGCAAGGAAAGTAATACTTGTTCTTAATATGCTCCCATTGGTATTGTTTTGCTCCCAAAGGATAATTTCTTGAGAGGGGACAGCTCCCGTAAAGTTCAGCACCAGCAGCAGAGGAAACCCAGGAAAAAAACGAAGCCACCTGCACTTACCAAAAAACACAAGAAGAAGAGAAGGCGAGGCCCGCGCCGGCCCCAGAAACCCATTCCTCCTGCAGTGCCCCAAGGGAACCTCACCATGCCTGCCAGTGTCTCACTGCCAGTAGAGATACCCCACATACGGTCAGTGCTGCTCCTGCCCAGTTTCCCACTGCTGGCCTGAGCATTGCCAGTGAGCACTGTACAAAGCTGCCCAAGCAGCATCTGGAGCAGGGCTAAAAATTGCAACTCCATGTGTCTGTTGAAAAAGACCTTTAGAGTGGGTCGTTTCGGATTTGAGCAATGATTGGGTTTGATGGGTAAAATACCTTGCTCCTGATGTTGCCTCTTATGTAATTAATGAGTAGCCTGAGTGTAAGCTTCCTAAAGAAATTACCTAAAAGCATTTTTTTCCTAGATAATGGAGAAAAAAATGTGTGCGTATCCATCCGTTGTAGATGGATATGCACTGATAGTTGTCCTTTGGAGCAAGCAGAGTTGAACACCAGGGACTAATGTTCCTTTCTGTTCAGGAGCCCCTCCACACCAGAGCTCAGTGCCGACGAGCTGCCTGATGATATCGCCAATGAAATCACAGACATTCCACATGACTTGGAATTGAATCAGGAGGACTTCTCTGATGTCCTGCCGCGGCTGCCCGATGACTTGCAAGATTTTGATTTCTTCGAAGGTACCATTTTATTTTATGCTAGCATGAGCACAGTCAGTGAACTGAAGAAGTGAGTGTTTCTGAACTGCATTTTCAGGAGTTGCTTGCTTTCCTACAGTGGTAATAAATTCTAGAGAAGGAAGTGTGCATTTGCTCTATTATTTGTGAGCTCTGAAGTAAAGCAGACTTTAAGAAGGCTGTAAGCATAGTTCTCTGCTTGCTCATATAATTACTGCTCTGAAAATCATAATTGGTTTAATATTTTAATAATTCATTTTGCATTTTTACTGCCTGTCAGTGTTACAGTTTAATCAAGACTGTTCTCAGTAATGGCATCTTTCTGCCATTGAGTGGGGCTGGAATCACAGTCAACATTGGCCTTTGATAAAAAGAGAAGAGAGTGAGAATAAAATCTTTAAATACATTTTTGAAACTAGCTTTTGATCAGAAATGTGCTTGAATTTCTGCATTCTAAAGCTCAGTACCTATAACATATAACAAAGAAATTAGAACAGCCTGGAGTTGGGTACATGATTTCTTTGGTCATTTTCTGATATAACATGACATCAGACTATGTTTGAATTGAAATTAACCTAAATTATACTGTCTGTGTAAATTTTAGGTCCAGGCTGTCATGTGGTAAGTAGAAAGAGGGATTGTGGACCATGTGTTATTGCAGCACTGAAGAAAATCTTGAGCATTTTTGCTTTAAGTGTAGGAAGTTTGAGACATCTCCTATTGTAGTATGTGAAAAAGAAGGGGGAGAGATTTCCATTGAAGAGGAAGGTGTAACTTCATGATTTTCTTACCTTGCCTAGCTAGTAAACACTGATGAATGATAATTTCTGTGTACTTCAAGCCATGCTGGAAGGTTATCATACAGTGCAACTCTGTACTGAACTGTCTGTACATCTGCACCCTTTGAGTGCCAGGGCCAAGCTTACCTGAGAGCAGTGCACTAACTGGTGGTGTCCTTGTTTCTGCAGGTAAAAATGGAGATCTTCTTCCGACCACAGAAGAGGCTGAAGAACTGGAACGGGCCCTACAGGCTGTAACTTCCCTTGAGTGCCTGAGTACCATTGGAGTACTTACACAGACAGATGGTGTGCCAGTTCAGGAGCTGTCAGATAGAGCGATAGGGGTGTTCTCTACAGGTGCTGGAGCTCCAGGAATGCAGTCCTTGAGTCGAGAGGTTAACACGGATCTGGGGGAGCTGTTGAATGGGCGTATAGTACATGATAATTTCTCCGGTCTGGAGCTGGATGAGAACTTGCTCCGTTCTGCTACCTTGTCCAACCCACCTACGCCCCTGGCAGGGCAGATCCAGGGGCAGTTCTCAGCCCCAGCCAACGTTGGCCTTACTTCTGCCACTCTGATAAGCCAGAGTGGCCTTGGGGAGAGAGCCTTCCCGGGACAGTTTCATGGACTTCATGATGGCAGCCATGCCTCCCAGAGGCCCCACCCTGCCCAGCTGCTGAGCAAGGCAGATGACCTGATCACCTCACGACAGCAATACAGCAGTGACCATTCACACTCCTCACCCCATGGAAGCCATTATGATAGTGAGCATGTGCCGTCTCCCTACAGTGACCATATCACATCCCCTCACACCACATCCTTTTCTGGTGATAACTTGGCAGCTACCTTCTCAGCAGAGATGCCCATGATGGCACAGCACTTGCTCCCAACTCAGCTGGATGTGCCACTTAGCGGGGTGGTCAACCCCAGAACTCACTGGGGAAATCTTCCTGTCAATCTTGGGGACCCCTCTCCGTTTAGCAACCTTCTTGGTGCAGATGGACACCTCCTGTCCACCTCCCTGTCCACACCACCTACCACCTCGCACTCAGAGACCACACAGCCTGCCTTCGCCACTGTGACCCCCAACAGCTCCAGTGTGCTTCCGGGGTTACCGCAGACCAGTTTCAGTGGCATGGGTCCTGCCTCCGCTGAACTCATGGGCTCCACCTCCCCTAAACAACAGCTCCCTCAGTTCAGCGCAGCCTTTGGGCACCAGCTGAGCTCCCACAGTGGCATTCCCAAGGACCTGCAGCCCAGCCACAGCTCCATAGCTCCTCCCACGGGCTTCGCAGTGACCGGTGCCACCGCTACCAGTACCAATAACGCATCTGCGCCCTTCACCACCTCCAACTGAGCTTGTCTGCCTGGCTCCCTGCAGGTAGATGGGGGACCTGTGTTTTCTATCTTTCCTTTTTTCCTTTCTCTTTATTTTGTCTGTCTTCTCTTCCCTTTTTTTTAAGAGGGGGTTGAGAAGAAAACCCCTGCTTCAGTACTGACCAGGGTTAGCCCTCTGTGAACCTTGCTGTAGCATTCACATGTGCTTGTTAGGCACTGGTGCTCATTTATTGCAGGCAGGTTCACTGTTCCCCAGTAATTCCTCAAGGATACAGCACAGTTACTGGATGTAATTGATCTTAGCAGTAAGACCTAGAAATGGGAAGATACCTCAGATCACTGATGCATGTTACTGTTCTCTAGGGTTTGGATCAGTGCTTGCCATCCCATTAGCATCTGGTAGAAAGTTTTCCAGTGGGCAGAAGTCTCTTGATTTGTTTTTTTTTTTTTTAATTTACTCTTTTTCCAAACGTAGCATCTGGCATGGAAAACTTGGCTGCACACATTGATTTAAGAGTGGTGCACTAAGTCCTAAATCAAGATCATGATTCAAAGATGAGTTTGGCAGTTTCTTGAAGTAGTCTCTTGACCTCCTCTGTGTGTGTGTGTGTGTGTGTGTGTTTGGGGTGCAGGGAGCAGTGATTCCTTTTCTTCTTCTGGTGAAGAAGTAGGAGTTGTCCCCTTCCAGAACTGCTCACTGTTCATACTGCATGCTGATTTTTGGGATTTTTTTATTATCATGATTTATAATTCATTGAGTAGCAAAGGGATCAGTTGACTGGTTGCCCATAAGTTTGAAGGCTGATATGAAGTTAGCCCAGGAAAAAAGAATAAAGAAAGATAAACAGAAGGATTAAAATATGGATCATGGATTAGAGATGATTCCTGTGAAAAATTCCCTTCCTTGTTGAATTACTGTGGCCTTGTAGCATTGATGATTTGCCTTTTAAAGTGTGTCTTTGTCCAGAACTCTTCGCCTGACAGGCTGACAGGAATTTCCCAGCTGAAACAGGAAGAATTAGGTTGGTTTTCTGCCCATCCACACAAGTCTAGGTCAGACCAATTGTAAGTTTCAAATGGATTCATTTCTCACAGTATGTCTAACTAGTGAGACTTTCTTGGACAGTTTATAATCCCTTGAGGGCCATATCTTTTTTCCAACACTTGAAGGGTTTGATGCTCTGTTTGGGAAGCTGAATGTCTGTAAGGAACTAGCAGGTACCTATCAGCAGTCATGGCTTACCAAAAAGAAATCACTAAAGCAAAATAGGTAACAATTCCTTCTGCCTGCAGGATGGTTTTGTTTGCATGATCACCTGCTAATGACAGTATTCACTCTTTGGTAGTTGTTGCAGTTCCTAAAGAAAGGAGTCAGCTAGGTTTTAGATTTTTAAAAATAATTACTATTTTTTAGTTTTGTTTTTTAAACCAAGAGATAATAGCAGCAGAAATTCTGAGGTGTTTACTTGCATCTCCTTATCAAGAAGGAATTTGCTTATGACTCTGTAGGGCTCAAACTTGCTACTGTGCTCAGACTTTGACTGTAAAAGTTGCTCCTGTTTAATACAAGTCTCTACTCTTCTTGGTTTATTTCAGAGTAGCAGATGAGAGAAAATAGAAAAGTCTACATTTCAGTCTTGTACTGTAGGTGATGAATTTTATTCTACCTGTATGTATTCTAGTCTATTTCAGGAAATTAACGGAACCAAGCACATGTAATAGAGAGGCCTAAAAACTTTCTGAGCAAAGGATCACTGAATGAATTTAGTTGCTATAGAAATTCATTTCATTAGCAGTCAGGCACATACCAAAATATCTGACCCAAACCTCTCCTTCCATCTTCCTAAGGAACAGATTTTAAACGGGATAGGTCTTGTGTCTTCTTACTATTGTAGCAATCATACTGTCCCTCTTTTCTTGAATGATCTGTCCTCTTTAAATATAAAAGAGTATGGATGATGCATATGTCCTTTTCTGAAATTGCAAGTGTATGTGGGTGGAAGAAACAAAAATTATTTTCATGCTTCTGTTGTTATGAAGTCATTATTTCATACTTGGTAAAATAGATCTTAATAATATAAGCCGAATATTTTGAGTGGTGAATTAAATATGTTTGTAACACTTAAATGTTTTTAAATCACATAAAAAGTTTAATTGAAACCTATGAAATCCTGCTTGTGATTGTCCTGCTGATTGAGGAATGCCCAGTGATATTGTGAATGAGGCAAATCTGACAAGGCTTTTATTTATTTTTATATTATGTTACCCATGTTTTGTTGAGGAGACAACTGTTTGATTTGCAGATGATTTTTGTTGTATTCATATACCTTCTTCAATGTGCTGGCATGTCTGACTGACAAAGAGTGGAAAACTAGTATACCAAATGGTGAATTCTTTAATCTGCTTGTGTATTCATGTAATTTTAGACGGTGTTAATTTCTATGTATTGGTTTCAGGACTTTGGTCTTGAAATGGTTCTTGTGCCCATCAAACTTCTGATGAAGTAATGAAACTGCAGCTAGTGCAGAGCATATTTGACCCACATCATATTTCTCTTTCTTAGCAAATGCTGGGAAGGGAAGAGAGGATAGGAACTGAGAGCCAAGTTCTGCTTGGTTGTGTTGGTATAAATTACAGAGGAACTTTCTGATCTACGGTCACAGTGAATTTGTACTGGACTAACTCAGAACAGAGCCCAGCTCCTAATCTGTGCATTGATTTAGGGAATTTCAAAAGCTGTCAGAGCAATGCAGGTCCATGATTACCATTTGAAATCAATGGCCTTTATGTACCTGTGTTTCTTTAAAGTAGCTTAGGACATCAAGTCTCTTCCCCCACTTAGATTTCAATCTTTGTATATTGCTTGACGGCTCTTCCCTGAGAACTGACTGCGTAACATTTTTCCATGAGCAAACTAAGTTTGCAATAAAGCTGCACTTTCAAAAATAAACTTCAGTTTGTATACAATTGAAATAGGAATCCCTCTGTCCTGTCTGCCACAGTGTTCTGAAACGGGCCACCACTCTTGCCTTTTCCTGGTTCACCTCTCTTTTTTTCACTACCACCAATTTCATGGTTACATGGCTACCAAGCAGTTACGGGTCTTGATCTTAGCTTTACAAGGTGGATCATTCCAGGTGGGTTTCTACACCCACAAAACCTGTTGACTTTAGTGCATCAGTGTCTTACTGTTGGATGTGAGAGATCTACTTGAGAGGTATGTGTAGTCAAGAGATATTCCACACCTCTTCCTCTGGGAAATCCTGCTGGCCTGGTTAAGGCGGTCCTTGAGGCTGTTATTTATGTGGTTCCCAAGTAGAATCCATGCTCCCTCAAGAATGTTTTTGATTATCAGCTCTTATAGCAATTAGCATTTTTGTCACCCCTTCACCAAAGAGCCAGTGTAGCAATTTCAGATGCTCAATACCTGTTGTGCCCTTTGTGTGTTGACAAATGGAATAAGGTTAGTCGAACATGAAAGTTAATTTCTTCAGATAAGGTTGGACTTTTAAAGAATGAAAAGAAATTAGACATAGAATAGAATATAATTTACATAATTTTGGCAATAATAGCACCTCAATTAGTCTCTGTACAAAAGTACTTAACACACGATGAATTTTGGCAGTGTACAGAGGCTTATCATGAATAGCTTCATAACTCTCCTGGTGCATAAGGCATTCTTTAAGACATGCTTTGACATTTCCTTTCACCTAGGAAGACCTTACACCAGCTTTGAGGGGAACCATATGCACTTAGATACCTCAAAGTTGATTTGTTCTTTGGCTTCATAATTATGAATCAAGAACTTTGTCTCCTCCAGCCTTCCAGTTCCTCCAGGTTCTTGCTTAGATCCCTTCTCATTAGTAGCATGCTTCTCTCTATGGCTGAGCATAAAGGCTTTAATTTGATAATGCTGAGAGGTAGCACAGTTGCAGATATGCCTCAGGCACTGTGGAGAAAATGGCAATAGCTAGATTTCCAACTGGAAATGGGGATTTGCAGTTCTCTTTTGGAAAGCATTGAAAACCCTGAGAAGCTTATCACCTGCTAGGCAAAAATCAGAGAAAAGAAATTGTCAAAGAGGAATTGTACCTAATAGCAAAGAGAAGCCAAGGGAAGTGGCTTTTTATTTTTTTTTTTTTTTTTAATAAAAGGAAGATTAGTATTGAAAAATTAGGATATTCTATTGTGAGCTGCCACTGGCTTTAGGGGCATGGCCAAGGCAAAAGACCTAGGACTGAACCTAGGCTAATTCAGTAGCCAAATTCAGTATGAAACTTTGTCTTGCTGTAACCACATCTAAATGTAGTCTGGGATTGAATCTACTTGCCAAGAGAGTCCTGCAAAGGTGTACAATAAACACTGGGCAGTTTTCTTCCCTGAGAAGCTGGCCCTGGTGGCTACCTATGCTGCTTCTGAGCTCCAGCTGTTCCCTGAGCTCCTGCAGCCTCTTTGCTGCTGCATATCCCTGTAGGCATTGTCAGGCCTCCAAGGGTATTTCTCCCTGACTTTGTGCTGCAGTGAGCTAAATCCGCTCATGAATTCTCCCAACAGTATGAACCCTTTGGGGAGAGAGGAGGGAAAAATTTTTAGAAGAGCCAGCTACCTGCAGTTAACCTGTCAAGACTTGCAGGGTGCAGGACGGTGGCAGGAGGTGCTTTCAGCTGACAAATGATAGAGAAGTTACCTGCAGTGATCTTCAGCAGAGAAACATTTGTGTGGCTGTCCAGGGAGCTTCCCTGGTGGAACTGGGGTATTTTTTCTTTTGTATTTTTACATGTGAAGGAGTCTTCTGTGCAGACCTCTTGCAAGGTCCAGTGGTGGCAGAAATAGTAACTGAAGGAATAGTTTGGGGCTAGTCTGCTGGCAGGACCTTTAGGTCCTTTCTCGCCTTCTGATAACAAGGTCTTTCTGATCTTTTGGGTAACATTTAGTGATGGGGATTTGTGGGCTACTTCTTGTACCTCCTTTATTTCCTTCCACTCTAGATTCTTCATCATTCTTGCATCTATTTTCCCATTCTCAGACCCTTCTCCAATGTAAGTTATGCCAGCTGGTAAGTCTTCTGTGGTTCTGAGCGAATCTGACTAAAATGAAAAGGAGGAAAGATTTCTGCAATTCATAACATATATTTGGATGCTAGAATGACAGTGCAATAGATCAAAGTATTTTTCAGATCAGTGAATAAGGAGATGTTTCACAGCATGCTAATATGTCATGAACTAGATGCTAAGGGTACATCGATCATGGGAATGCACATGCTAGCAGTGAATATGCAGGCATTTTTAGCAAGAATTTACATTCTCAGAAGTTCCTCTTCTTTTGAGATGCGTATCAATAGAAAGTCACAAATAAAAATGTAAATTACTCTTTCTTAATACACTCAAGCCCAAATGAAAGTGAGGAGGGTTGGTGACAAAAATCTGAATTTGTATTCACTGAACTTAAACTTGGACTTCAGGAGTGGTCTGGTCATAAGCGACCTTAGTTCTGATCAGTTAAAGTTTCAGTCTTGTCTTTAAAACTAGACAAAAACTTGTAGGGAAAGAAATGTTTGGGGGAGGAGAAGGAGTTTTAAGATGCATCTTAAAACAATTTTCTCACTTGCATCTTCAGTCTCTTTTTTTTTAAAAAAAACCCCAAACAGTAGTGACAATTTTCCTTTTGCTGCCTAGTGCTTGTTATGGTTGTTGAGTTCTTTGCTTTTCCCTGTTCTACTCTGCTCCTTCTCAAGCTACTGTGGAATGAGGTAATGTAATGGAAGCATGAAAGGACAAAGTGAGCATGGCTCTAAGTTGACAGCAATAGTTGGAGAAGGCTTTCTTTATCGGTCTCCTTGAAGTAAGTGTTGGCACCTTTTCAGTCTACTCTAGGTCATAGAATTTGGTCTGGAGGTGAACAGGATGAAACTTGGGCTTTTGACCATAAAACTGTACTTACTTGCTGTAGAAAAATGCATTCTTCCTACTCTTCCTCTTGCTAGTCCCCCAAACACACACACAGTGAGATGTCCAGTAACCCACATGTTGACCACATAGGCATGTTGAACTTGGTCCAGAAATGCTAATGTTTAACCTGCTTTCTGTCGTTGTCAGCTGGTGCCCACGGAGATGAACTCTGGATAGGTAACGTTCCCAGATATCCTCTGGAAAACTTTAACTTTGGTGCAGATTGCTCTGATGTAGCTAACTGCGATGGCATTGGCTTCTACCTTGGAGTGGACTGATTTACCCTGAAGTGACTCTCTAACCTGCATCTTAAACAGTGTAGTTGGTTCTGGTGCAAATAGATTCATTCTGAAGTGATGGACACTTTGATTCTCATGCAAAATACTACATCCTACTAGAAGGGGTTGAACCAGTTTCTCCGAACAGTGATGACCTTCACTGTACAGTTTTGGGTATGTCTCAGGGATTCCTTGTGGAAATAAGGGCAGTTAACAAAAAAAAAAAAAAAAAAAAAAAAAAAAAAAAAAAAAAAAAAAAAAAAAAAAATTAAATAGTTTTAAAAGTAAATAATAATTTAAGGTAGAGCGTCACCTAAGTGAGAGCGCAAGAAGGAGAAATCTTTGTTCAGTTTTATAGTCAACGGTGTCTGGCTTACGGACTCTTTCTCTTCTCGGGGCTCTCATCTCAAGTTCAACATACAGAACCTTTTTCATCACGCTCAGCTTTAAACTTTTTATTTAAAGATACCCTTCCCCAATGAGCTTTCAGAATACTTATTGTAGATTTTAAGAGAAATGGTATATTAATTTATGCTATTAACATCACCTCATAAATTATAAGTTTTATACTAAAGCTGTATTGAGTGTAATGAATTATGTTGCATATGTGTTTTTAATAGCTATAAAATTATATACAAGCTTTTTTGGAAAAACAAACTAGTGAAGCACCTTTTTACACTGGATCTTTGCCGTGTCAAGGTGTACAGCTATTCTTTGCTACCTTGCAGATATCTATATCTATATATAGATATATATATAAATAAAATAAAATGGTATCCTGTATCAACAAGTATAGAACTCTTTTTAACCCTTATATTACTGTTCCTATAACTCTTTTTAAATTTTGAGTGTTACATTCTGCAATAATTTATCCGTGGTTTGTACCTATGATTAGAAATTTAGTTACAGGGTAAATAGATCAAATTTAACAATCCAACTACTGTAGCTGGGAGTTGTGAACCAAGTTTGTAAGACCTTTTCTTTTTTTTGATGTATTTATTTCCAGTTAGCTCTGTGAGTTGGAATTTGAAAAGTTGGAACATTAGGAATCTACAGTGTCTTATTCAGGAATTTTCCCCTCCTTTCCTCACAAAGGAATTCCCACTGTGACTTATAAATAGAATTAGACTGCTTGTGTGCATGTATGTATTATATATACACACAAAAAATATGCATTGGGGGGGATGTATGTGCGATACGAATGTGTATATTGTATGTAGGTCATAGTTTTGTAAAGAGAAAAGTAGTCAAGAAGTGATGGAATGTATTGTAGAAATGTGATTATTTAGTAGGGGGTTGTTATGTCCTCACTGTTGTATAAATAACTGAAACTCTCTACTATATAATCTTCTGTTATAAGGCTAACTCTGATATCATGTCAATTTTACTGTTTTTCAAATGAATTGCTTTGAGCCCTGTTTAAAATGCCATGAAAATACCAAGCTCCCAAAGACAGCCTTTAAATAAAACAAATGGGGGAGGAGGAGTGATGGAAGAAACAAGTTTTTCAGGACAAACTGAATGGGAAGGTTTGCATTTGGTGGGATGGAGAGGCATGAGAATTGCTGTATCTTTGCCAATTAATACCCGAATCTCCTATGGTCTGACTTGGAAAATGTTGTCAGTGTACTTGTGTTTTCCAATTAGATTGTAAGGGGTACTGTTTGTGCAGTTGTCTCCATTCCATAAAAGGATCTTGTCTTCAAAGTAGATTTTTTTTTTCTCTTCTGAGGATATTTGTGTATATCAATTTTATCCCAAAATTGCTATTGTGGGATTGCAGAACAAAATATGCATCCAGTCAAGGGAGTTTCATTTAGGCTGTGAATTTCTGAATTTGATTGTGACCACTTACCTTTTTTTCATAATTGGAGAAGGAAGATTTCTTTATGAGAGCTCTTGCTTGAAATTGTGAGAAGTCAGAAACATTCTTGCAGATTGACTTACTCTTCCTTCTGTTCTATTTAGACTGAAGAAAATAACCTAATTGTTATTTATTCATACAGTGTCACTTTTAAGATGATCCTGATGACTTAAAAAACCTTTTTAGAAAAACAGATCTTCTAGTATGGGACAGAAATTTGAAATTTTTTGCAATTTTTTAAAATATTCCCCTCCATATCATGATGTTGATACTCCCCCAGGCATCTGTCACCCTTTCCTTCTCCCCACAATTTGTTTCTGGCACATATGCATACAGGCAAAAGGGTAGGGAGGTAGAAGTTGTCAGAGGCCTTTTCTTCTGCTTATCTGGTGGTAATGGTAATTAGGAGCATAAATCTTTATGCCTTTATGGAGGAGAATAGACTCTTTTTGTGCACACCTGTACAGAGAGATATATCTGTATATGAGATAACAGTAGCATTTTGCTGAATGTGGACTTGCCCTCGTGATGTACAATAAATATGTATGAATGCAATCAATCTAAATCTGTACATACATGCTACAGATTGATAGATGGAATATACCTTGTGTCACACACCTGTACATTAGCTGTAACATGAATGAGTGTGTGAGCTAAAGAGAGGGACTATCCACGTAATGTATGTGTAACAGGTAAGCACTTGTGCCAGACAAGTTGTTTTAAATTCTTCTGAGGGGTCTGGATGGCTCAGAGATTGATCTGAGCTTGGCCACCGTTGGTTTGTGTTACCTCAGCCCTCGAAGGGGAGTTTCCTTGCTATGTCTCTGCTTTTGTTTTATATTTATTCTTGTTGAGGCCTCTTGCAAAATGCCAACTTCTTTTGCTTCTCTGCTCCATTGCCTCCATTCCAGCTCCTCCTTGTCCCTGCATCTCTGCAGTTTCTCTTGCTAGCAGCAATCAGCTTTAATGGCCCAATCCAGCTCTGCTTATGCAGGAGGGAAATTCTCTTGGTGACTGGAGTGGTAGCTGAATTGGGCCCTGAGCACCTGCTTGAACTTATGCAAACTTCCTCAGCTTCAATTGTGATTCAGTAGGACTGTGATTGATTTACAGATGAATACAAACTTTTCATGGAACCTGATGCAAAGCTTCCTAGCATATTAAAAGGTTGACCCAGCATTATATTTAAGTGGTCAAAATTGGAAAACTGCACCCACCAAATACTACCTTCCAATTTTCAACCCTAGGGAGAAAAGAAAGTTTGATTTGTGTTTCCTATAACACAGGCAGTAAGCAGAATGCAGCCCTGTACTCTGTTCTGAGCAATGGGGTTTTCATCAAACATATCAAAAGAAACACAGTTTGTTACACTTTACCATAAAACAGATTTTAAAATAGAGTGAAGAGTTGACCATTAACATGCTAGCACTTTGCATCTAATTGTGTACTGGGTGATCTTGCTTATGCAAGTAAATTATGGGCTTAAGTGTTTTATTTTCTGTTTTCTGGCTAAATGGAGCTTCTGTATCCTTTTAGCAGAAAGCAGCTGTCAGCAACCTGCTCAGTCACATTGAAGTGCAGTGTAACTTAGGCTTCAGTTTCAGAGGAGAATGCTGCTCCCGTTCTGTCATCGAGCTATACTGGGTTCCATGTTTTCAATATGGCTATGATACAATTATTCCTGGCCACAATTCAGCCATGGAATTTTGTCTTCCTTGCATTTCTGTTAGAAGGTAACTGGTGTACTGTTCCATCTGAGCTTTCATGCAGCCATACATGACTTCTATGATACATATGTTGGGGTGTGTGTATGGGTATGTCTGTGTGCTGCGTGTGGACAATATAGATTGATACACACACGCCTATTATGCTATTTCAGTTTATGTATGTGGAGAATGTACCTGTTGGTTATCTCCTGATATATACTCATGCATACCTATATTAAATATGTATATAGAGTGTAGATGTCCTGCATATACATGTGTATATGTTATGAAACTTGGTTGGCGATTTTTTTCCACACTTTTATTTTGCAAATTGCTGTCCCTTATTACTTATTTTCACTGAAGATGCATTATATAGAAGAAATGGAGAAATGCATTATCAAAGTTTTATTTTAAAAAGGAGACTTAATTATCTAAAGCCATTTGTAATTGTCTTTTGAATTTTTACTAGAAGGATTGTTATTTTAAAAAGGAAAAGGAAAAAAAGGAAACAAAAAAAACCAAAAGCAAGCAGACAAGCCCTTGTTCCCAGCATCGTTTAGGTGAAAGAAATGGAAACACAAGTTTCTAAGTATTTATTTTCCTTCGGGTGTTTCTGAGGAATACAGAATTGCATTCTGCCCCATCCCCCTTTTGTCCAATTATAATTAATGATTCATGATTTTCTTTTTCCCTCATTACTTTTGTAAATCATTGTTCACCTCCTACATTCAATAGTACTGATATCACTAAGGAGATTTCATGTCCTTCTGTCCTTTTTAGGAGAAATACCAGTGCATCACTATTGTGTTTCATTTTAACATACTTTGTGGAGGATGGATGTTTTTATTGAAGATGTCTGTAACCCGTCTAACTTATTTAATGTGAGAAGCCTTCATTGGAATCTATCGTCTGTTTGTTTCCAACAAGTTCAAGTTTCTGCAACTGTTTTTTCACCAACATGTTAAATACTTCCCTTCTTATTTTATGCCTGAGGTTTTTAAAATTTGGGTTTGTTTTTTGAGTTTTTTTTCCCCTCCAATTCCCAAAAATGTTTATCTGCAAGTGGAGCAAAACAGATGTCAGAAGCTCAACCAATATCCTTTTTGCAGCTAAGGGTAAATATATTTATCCTAGACTTAATAAAAGAAGGTGGCAAATGGACAATCTGAAGTGCTTAGAGGGAATGCTCTCTCTTTTT